GAACCCCAGTCGGCTTCGGCAGATGGCCGCTCACACTGAACCTGGTTCTGCTGCCGGTTTCATCCTGTTAAAAGGGAGCTTTCCTCTCCACTGTCAGTACAAGCATGCTTGGCGTGAGGGATTGCTGAAGAGTCAATTAATCGATGCAATCAGCTTGTTTTCCTCAGAAAGAAAACTTTGAACCAATCTCACAGTATGATCTGGTTAATAATAGCAAAAGTGTCAAATAGAGTCAAATGGTGTCAAATTTAACTTTGCATCATCTTGAAAAAGTATTTATTTTGGCATGTGGTGAACAGTAAGTTGGTGCAGTAGCCAGTCCAACCACAAATAGATTAATTAACAGAATGAAACAAATTATATAGATGGTTTTAATATTTTTAAATACCAACAGGCCAAAACGAAGATGAGCTTAAATGAAACAAGCCAAACAAGTCTAATTTTGAAATGTAAGGAGTAAAAAATGTGAAATAATTTCAAAATAAAAGAAAGGAGTAGAAGTAAAAAGTTGCCTAAAAAATAATCACTACAAACAAGACAAAAGACTTAAGAAAGGTCACAAAGTATTTGTTCTTTGGTACTTGACACCTCTGATAACTGTAAGATACAGTAGGCTTGAATCAAAATGTAAGGCATTAACATGATGTCTTGCTTAGTACCAAGAAGTATGAAGAATAGAGAATTAAAAAAAAACTGCATAGTGAAAGAGAAATTCAAGATCTCCAGCGAAAACTGATCCATCAGGGATATGATGAAGCCATTAAACTTAATTTAAAACTGGTTAATATAAGAGCCCTCCAGACAAAAATAGAGGCTCTAAAGGAAACTACATATGCATATGATGTTGAACTTAAAAAGAAAGAAATGTACATTAAAAAGTTGAAAGATGAGATTGCATAGTTAAAATTACCACAGAATCACCCTCTATTTGTACTGTGTTCAAAATAAAGTCAGGTAAGTTTCTGACTACTCCAGCTTTGACATATAATCTGCATGAATTTGGCTGTTATACAGTTTTATGCTGGTTTTGATTTAGCGAAACACGTGGTTGTTGTAATATTCTGCCTGTAATTATCTTTCAAATTTACACATAGTCTTTAGAGTGTTTCCTTTCAAAGTTGTTGTCTTAACCTTGACATGTTTGATTTCCTATTGATTGTGCAGCTTTATCTTGGTTTGATCTTGCATCCATCAAATTTGCATGCAATTTTAAGTTGGTGTTTATTTTGTGAATGCTGTAGGCATTCACACTATTGAGATCCTGTTTCTCTTTATTCTTTATTTATTGTGTGAATGCTGTAGGCATTCACACTATTGAGATCCTGTTTCTCTTTATTCTTTATTGTGTGAATGCTGTAGGCATATAATGGAAGTCTAT